TTTATCCTGGATAAATTAAGGTTATTTGTATAACCTAACCCGATTACCTCGGGACGGGTCTGGTGGGATTGTCCTCCTTAAAAATTGGCTTTTGCATAAACCCTGTTTTATCCTGGATAAATTAAGGTTATTTGTATAACCTAACCCGATTACCTCGGGACGGGTCTGGTGGGATTGTCCTCCAAATTCTGAAATTTGGCGTTACTGAGTGGGCGGCTTAGTTACTATTTCCTCATGATTCGTCCATGATTTCTTGGCTGTTTCTCTTTTGGAAACTGGGTGTTTTCTTCTATGGGCTCGGGCTAGATTCCGTGGTATCAATTATTTCTTTTTTTTGATCGTAAACACAGATCACGATATCACATGATCACGCGGACCCGTGGGTTTGACTTTCACACTAGCCAATTACTAGGTTTAAAACTAGTAATTGACTAGTAAATGCAAATTTGGTCGACAAAATCATAACTTTAATTCATTGTAAAACCAGTCGTAGCCAGATTATGCTAAGATTAATAAGATTGGTAAAATTTTTTAAATTAATAATTATACCTAATTGAGATCAGTGTGAAAAACATCGATATAGAGATTGATGCAAAATACATTCGTGAAATATGAAGGCTTCGCGATGCTATGCAGATAGAGCAATTATAATATTATGGAAATAGCAATGAATCTCTAAAATGCATAAAAGAGTTTGAGGTTTATCTGGCACAAAGCTTATTAATGAGCGAACGAAATGAACCTATAATCAAATAGCTACTCGTCTAATTAGGATCCATAGTTGCAATAAATTCTCGCCTACGTCCTAATCAGTCCATTTCCTCCATATAAATCTCATGTAAGATACCAAGATAAATACTCTCCATTTATCACATTAACAGGTTAATTACAAGGATTCGAATAGCATTTCTGAGTAAATATAAATGCTAAATGAAATTTACACATCTATATAAAATGATAACGAAAACGATAGCAATAAATTTAATTTTTTGACAAACAAAAAATAAATAAGAATGTCTTCACCTCCTTTCTCAGATGCCGAAGAATCTAATGTCACACCATCAACGACATCAACTTCGTCAATTACAAGTCGCAAGAAGAGGAAAGCTAATGCTGAAACCTCCCGTAGTAATAAAAGCTATACCAGTTATTTTTTTCGTATAGATGAAAACAACGTTGAACTTGCATACTGTAAAATATGTGTGCGTAACCTTGCTGGCTCTCGGCAATCTCCCTATCCATATACTCGTAAAGGTGGCAACACATCGAATATGATTGCCCATTTACGCGACAAGCACAATATAATCAAAGATAACTATGCTGATTATTTGGATGAACATAATGAAGTAATACGATATTCTGAAATTAATTTGTTAATACACTGGTAAAATTTAAAAATTTCGTCATGTTTAACATGACGAAATTTTTAAATTTTTTAAAAACATAATTAACTTTAGATTATTTTTAGCCAAAATGTGATCAAACAAAAGTTACCGACTATTACAATAACATGACACCACCATGTTCATCGCAAAGGCAACAACTAATCGCAAGGAAATTAATCCAATTTATTATTCGATTTGTTCAACCTCCTTATATCTTACAAGATCAATCTTTTCGCGAGTTTGTTTATGCCTGTGAACCTGGATTCCGAATTCCATGCGACAAAACTGCTAAAGGATTAATTCATAAAGCGTATAATTGGAGCAATGATCAACTAAAGTCCCTAATTAATAGTAGCGTAACAGCTATTCATTTGTCTACCAACCTGTGGACAGCAAAATCTAATCATGGCTATTTAGGTGTTACGGCAACTTGGCTGTCTTCTGATTTTAAATTTAAAGAGGCCTTGCTTTCTTGTGATCATCTTGCATATCCGCACACCGGAGAAGTAATTTGTGAGGAATTAATTCGATTAATTCGTGAATGGTGTCTTGATGCAACGATCTTTACTGTAGCTACAGACAATGGCGCTAACATGGTTAAAGGGGTAAGATTGTTGAATGGAATCATTAATGATATAGAGCGTCAGCCTTGTGCTGCGCATACGTTGCAGCTATCAGTAAAGGAAGGGCTAAAACAGTGTAAGGCTATTCATCGTCGTGTAAAAAGTTTACAAGCTTTTTTTCGACTTCCTAAACAGGCACAACGTTTACGCGAAGCGCAATATGAATTTAATGTAATTGATGAGAGTCAAAATATTATTGAAAGTCCACTTGATATTATAACTGATGTAAAAACAAGGTGGAATTCCACCTATTTGGCTTGGAAACGTGTCCTGGAGTTGCATAATGCAATGAGATTTGTTTCAACTTCGTTACTTTCTAAACAAGATCATGCTTTGCAAAAAGAAGGAGAAAAACTGGAAAAATTGTGCTTATCAGTTAGCGAAAAAGAGTAATCATAAATTTATTTAATTTTGTAGTATTAATTAAGGTAGGTTGGTCATGGCTGTTATACGGGACGATAGAAAATCATGGGCCAGGATCGATTCTAAAAAAGCTCGGGCCGGTCGACCGGGCCAACCTTTTTTGCTAGAATAATTTTTCTGATCAGAATTCTATATCAAATGTATAGAAAGACATCAAGTCATCCTTGACAAAGTTCTAGTGATACTAAATTATTTAGTTTTTATTCGCTTTGTTCTTGAGAAATTATAGTGCGTTAGTACTTTATGTTGATTAATTGTTTATACAGCTGAACATATCAGAATATTTCCATTTCTTACATTCATTGTTTGCCGATTTATCATCAAAATTAGCCAACTAATGAATATCTACTCTACTTTGTTGTAACTACTAGTTGATTTTTAGCCAATTTTTTTGATCTGAAATTGCTTTATAAGAGAATCGATTCTAACACTTCTTTAATCGACCGGCCCAGTCTAAAAGGTGCAGGCTAAGGGTCGACCCGGTTGTTGTGCTGAGGCCAGTAGTAATTTGAATTATCTGGTCGGAAGTGGTAAGTGATCACGAGACTGCACATTTTTTCGCTATGACTCAGCAAAAAAATGTCGTGGTCTTATGATCACCGACCGCTTCCGAACAGATAATTCAAATTACGCATTACGTTTAAAAGACAATAGTTCTTTAATATCAATTATTAGTCTTTTAAACATAATACATAATTTGAATTGTCAGGTCGAAAGTGGTCAGTGATCACGAGACCGCAACATTTTTCGCCATGACTAACCTATTATGATGCGGTCAAACTCTTTTTTAAAATTAGAATTGTTTCTGGAGTTTTATTTTGAAACTTCCAAATCTTAAATTTGTTATTTTAGGTTGGACCATATCCACATTTAACTTACATTCTGTTGATAATCCTATTTTTGGAAGTTTCATTCAGACAAAAAGTATCAGTCTTGCCCGTAACATTATTAACATACATTAATAATATAGACTACAGTTATTTATTAATTTTATTTATATTATTTAAGGTAGTTAAACGAGAATATGGAAATCTTAATTTTCGGATATTCTGCTATATAGAGTATAGACTTACTTGCCTCTGTAATATTTATTTCATGACAATAATACATTTTACATTTATAATATTAAATACAAAAACTTTTAATATCAAATTATTATATGATGTAATCACAATATTCAGTGTCGAGTAAGCCCCATACTCTGAAGTAAAATATTCAAAATTGAGATTTTCATGTTTTGTTTGACGATGCTCTTTTTTTTAATAATGTATTAAAAAAAATTTTTTTTTTTTTATTATATAGATTTTTAAAGGATGTGGTGAATTTACTGGAACCGATTGAAAGAGTAACCCGATGTTTATGTGGTGCTAAGTATCCAACTATCAATCTTGTTTATCCGTACATGGAATTACTCAAAAAAAGGTTTGCACCAAAAACGGGTGAGACGGTCGATACCTATTTGAATCTGATTTATGGAGAAGGAGTTGAAGATGATGAGAATGAAAGTGATGAATCTGATAATGATATTCCTGCTGCCGGCACTCATCAACAATAGCAACATGCGCATAGACAGTTTAGCCAAAGAATGGCCTCCTGTGGCCGAAGTCATCGAAGTATTAGAACACAGAGACGATCTACCAATACTGAACTGGTAGATACTGACCAAGTAGAGTATTTGCCCCCTGTTGCTACTGATGGTTTACTTTGTAAAGTTCGAGCTGCTATTTACCTGTCATTAGATGAATTATGGGCAGTTCCGACAAACATTGCTTTAGTTGCCACATTTCTCGATCTACGGTTTAAACATTTCAATTGGACGACAAGCGTTGAACGAAGCAGAGCACAGAATTTGGTAAAGACTCTATATAATGAATTAAAGACAAACCTTACTATTCCAGATGACAATGACGAGAATTTGGTAGATAGAAATTACAATGATGATGATGGAGACTTTTTTCATGAGTTAGAAGCAAATTCTACACAAGCTGATGTGGAGGAAGATGACAACGAAATAATGTACTATGTAAAGTTGAAAGAAATCAAAATTAATGATGATCCTTTAGAATGGTGGCTAAAAAATAGAAGTAGCTTGCCCGTTTTGGCTCAATTAGCACGCAAATATCTCTCCATTCCAGCGACCTCTGTTCCAAGTGAGAGATTATTTTCCGATGCCGGCAATCATATTTCGGCAAAACGAACCCGTTTGTCACCGGATTTGGTGAATAGAGTTTTATTTTTGAAACGCAATAGAGTTCACTTTGACATCTTTCCACCACAAGAATAACGATAACAGTTTTTAATAACTGTTAACTTATTTACTCAATACTGAAGGTTCTAACTTGATTCGTGACAAAATTATTGGCATGCTTAGTTTATATTTGTTAAATTTTTTTAAAATTTAAAATTCTAAAAAAAAAAAAAAAAAGATGCTAAACGTGAACCTGAGGAAAGGTAAATAGAAGCTACTGAATAATTGAAAAAGTTAGTACGTTTTATATATGAATCTTGTGGCTTCTTCTTTTCATTCAAATTTTTTTCAATTTCAAATTTTAAGTTTTTTTTTTTAATTTTAAATTTTTCAATGTTAAATTTTTTTTTTAAAATTAACTTTTTTTCGATTTAAATTTTTTAAATTTAAATTTTAAATAAATTTGGACATTAAAATCACTGATAAAATTCTTGGTGATTATATCTGCTTTCCCAATGAATAAATTGATCGTTAGGGGCACTAATGAAATTCTTGGTGGTTATGATCCGCCTTCCTAATAATAAACTTTGGTACAGTACTGGTTTTCTTACATTAAACACGATTAGTCAAAATCCATGTAAACTAAATCTTATAAGATACATAAATACCATTGTTAACTGCCATTACCTTTACCAATTCTTCTTAATTTATTGTCACAGACAACTTAACTCCAAACTTTCATATCCTAACGTTACTCTTAAAATGCTTAAATTCATCTTTCACGCGATAAATTTACTGATTTTGGTTAGAATCCGGCTAGAAGTGTATTTTTCTTGTGTAATTCGTTCAATCAATATGTAAGTTGTTGATCATCCTTTCAATCCGTTCAAATATGCGGATCTTTTCAATCTATGGACCAGCTAACTTTGTAAAATCGGGTACAATTAATCAACACGGTATCGGGGTCGAGAAGGATGAATGTAAGGCATTCGAACATTTTCGAAAGGCCGCCTAGATAGGTGATGCTGGTAGAATATTTAGTATTGGATTTTGTTATCATAATGGAATCAGAATGGAAAAGGATAAACGTAAGGCATTCATCTATTATCAAAAAGCCGCCGTAATGGGAAATGCTGAAGGAACATTAAGTGTTGGATATTGTTATGACGAAAGAATCGGGGTTGAAAAGGATAAAAATATAGCGTTCGATTATTATCAAAGAGCTGCCGAGATGGGCGATGCTAAAGGAACGATTAATGTTGGTTATTGTTATCAAGGAGGAATCGGGGCTGAAAAGGATGGGAAGAAAGCATTCGAATATTTTCAAAAATCTGCTGATATGAGAGATGCCAATGGAACATTTAATCTTGGTTATTGTTATCATCATGGTATCGGAATCGATAAGGATGAACACAAGGCATTCGAATACTGCCGATATAGGTCATACTGAAGGAACATTTAATGTTGGTTATTGTTATCAAGGAGGGTCATGCTGGTGGAACATGTAATGTTGGAATTTGTTATCTAAGAGGAATCGGTGTTGAAAAGGACAAGAAAGCATTCGAATATTCTCAAAAAGCCGCCGAAATGGGTCATGCTGGTGGAATGGTAATGTAGGGCATTGTTATGATGAAGGTATCGGAGTTAAGAAGAATGAACACAAAGCATTCATTCATTATCAAAAATCTGCTGATATGAGAGATGCTAGTGGAACATACAATGTTGGTTATTGTTATCAAGGAGGATTCGGAGTTGAAAAGGATGAAGATAAGGCATTTGTTTATTTTCAAAAGCTGCGGATCTGGGTAACCCTGTTGGAATGATGGAAACTGCTAAATGTTATCGAAATGGGTTTGGAGTAGAAAGAAAGCGACTATTGGTATCAAAAGTAAATAAATCTTAATTTACTAATTTTTTATTATATATTTATTTAATTAATTCTTATATTTAAATTTAATTAATTTGTTTAAAACATAATTAGGGAGAACTCATTTATTAGCTACGAATGAATGGATACGTAAAAATTCTGAAATTGAAGATGATTTGAAAGAAGTGTTATTGAAAAATGATTATCGGTTATCATGGATTCCTTACAATGAATTTGAAATCATTAAGGAGATAGGAAAAGGCGGATTTGCAACTGTATACGCTGCTAATTGGATCGATAAAATTCAAAATGTAAGAAGAATTGTTGCACTTAAATTGCTTAATGAATCAAATGGTCGTAAAGAAGAATTCATAAAAGAGGTAATCTTTATCGAATATTTTTGTTAATTATATTATTTATATATTGACTAATGTGAATATTTATTTTCTTTTAATATTGTGATATCGGTCTTAAAAACATCCAGGTTTTTTAAAATGCTTCGGTATATCAAGACATGACGCTTCCAAAGATTATGTTCTTGTCATGGAATATGCTTTAAAAGGTTGTTTGCGTAATAATCTACAATTCATAGCCAGATTGAATGGAAAGGTAAGTTAATTCTGTTACAATGTATTGCTTCGGATCTTCAATCAATTCATGGAAATATACTACTAAATGAATTGAAAAGCGCATACATCGCAGATTTGGGTCTTTCAATATTGGCTAATATTACATCAAAATCAGAATTAGATAGTATTTATGAAATTTTGCCAAATATTGCTCCAGAAGTTTTGAACAAATAAGCAACAAATTACGCGATTAAGCACAGTAGCCATCGAATAATCGTTACATGAAGTTGTCCAAAGACTTTTTAATGCACTGTAATCTAATTAAATTAATAGAAATCTACTGTTAAATAGCTTTTTAATTATGTTTCTTTTTTGTGTTGATTTAATGAGAATATAAATTATTGATTAAATGCATTTAGAATAAGTTATCCATATAATTAACTACACAAACAGTCGTGAATACTGTATAGTAAACCGTAATGCCATAGTGCCACAATGCCACAATTCATAATGCAGTTTTCCATATTGCCTATTGACTTTAATTTGGCTAATTAATCCTAAACAAACAATTTTTTCGCGCAACGTCAGTCTCTTTGCAAAGTAAAATACATTATAGCAAAACTGTTGGAATCTATCTACATGGCACCAGAATTCAACTGAACATGTATTGTGTATCACTTCCTTAATCAATTGAACATACTCTTTGTAGAATACTTCCTGCTTGCGCGATATTCCATATTGGCCATTGAAATATTCATACAAACCAAAAAGTGCTCTACAGGGTATAAAGAAATTCAATAAAAATTAGACTGTCAAGTAGATGAGTTCTCAAGATCACATCTTTTACTAACTTTATTAAATAATGAAAAAGCATTGATATCGGGTATAACAGATAAATAGTTAAAATAAACGGATTAATTGGATGAATTCGGTTGTAATAAAACCGATTAATTGGATGAATTCGGTTATAATAAACCCGATTAATCGGATAAATTCGGTTGTAATAAAACCGATTAATCGTATATAATAAAACCGATTAATCGGATAGATTCGGTTATAATAAAACCGATTGATCGATTTAAAAAAAAGTTCAACCCGGTTATAAGTTATAACCGGTTATAACCGGTTATAAATCCGATTACAATAACCGGTTCCAACCTCTACTGCCGATATTTCTAGAGAAATATATATATATAATATATATATCGGCAGAAGGCTTCATCTTAAAAGTATGTACCCAGTCAGAATATGATATATTACATTAATATTTCATCGGGCGAAAGCTCACTATAGCCATACTGAGTATCTTTTCTATTCATTCAGTAAATTTCTGACCCTGTTTGATATGAAGGTAATACAGGAGCATCTTCACTATCGAAAGACCCAACTAGATGGTAATGTCTACGATTCTTATCTATAGTCTTAAATTTTAACCTATATGTCACATACAGTACTGAATTCAGTAAGCCAAGTTTTACCTGAACTGTTTTTAATCCTGATTTTTTAGCTCTGCGCAATGCATCTATATTATCAAATACTCAAGCTATTTTAGGCACTAAACCCTGGAGATACGATATTAATTCGGGAGAACCTATGCGTGTTTTGACTTCATCAGCTTTATATTGTGCTCTATCATCGATATCTCTAGCTGGTGTGCAAATTCTTAATAATTTTAGGCAAATTTGATGCCTCTCAGCTTGGGTTGCAGTTGTGAGCCTATCTTCTCTGTAATCTTTACAGGATATAGCCTCAATGGCTATTTCATTGTTAGTACCAGCATCTCATAATTGCTTATAAGTCCTAAACCATTTCATATAATTATAATTCCTATACTTTTTTATGAAATTCTCGATCAATGATTCTGGCGAGATCTCATAACAATCCACAATATGATGCCGGTCTAAAGAGCACATCTCTTCTAAAGTCTTTCTTGGTTTATTCTCCAATAATTCAGCAGTCTCACGATCGACAATAGTAGCATTAGATACATCTGCTATCTCCTCTGCTTTAATAGTAGAAGAACATACCTTCACTGTTTGGGATAACGATATCGTAATATCTTTAGGTTTAGGAATGGGTTCCATGACAGAAATTATTATACCCGCATTTTGGAGAAAATCAGCCATTCTCTAGCCAAATAAGTGCCGGGAATGGAATCTTTCTAACATATAGGCCACCCATAAACGAACAATTGGTATGTCCTTATTCTGGATGATAGAGTCGATATCTGGAAATATTTCTCTATTCTGAAGTTCCCAGGGAAGACATTCACGTTTGGCATTTAATAACCACTAAAATAGTTCCTTTTCTAAAATGGGAACGTTAGATGATCTTTGCTCAATATAGCATATATAATCCTTAATACATCGCATACAGAATAACATCTGATTCGTTTCGGCATTTGTTTCTATATAGCTATTGAAGAGACAAAATGCTCGTTCAAACTTAGAATTAGTATATGAAACATCTATTTTTAGAGTACTAGTATAGACAATTAAGTCTACGTCTTTCTATGATTCTTCTACATTGCTAAAATCATATGTTTTTTCCACAGGATCAGATTTACCGTGATATTCCTTGATTTGCAATTCTGAAAAATCAGTCTTAAGAGCATGGACGATCTCTTGCATATCTTTTCTAAGATAGCAAATGAGTGATGCACTTGTTCGATTCTCAAAAGATAGTGAAGATACTCCCCTAGCTCAATCCCATAGTTCGGCTAACACAGTTTCTTTATTAGGAGCTAGGTAGAATATTTTCCCTTTCTGTGGTTGATAAGTATCATGAATAATTGAGAAGGGTATATCTTTGCGAAGGGCCTTAATCTATTTAATGTTGAGATCAGTTAGATCATTATCCATGACGATAATACACCTTGTTTCTTGAACTAATTTATATAATTTTTCTATTGATTGACCTGCCAGATGACTTTGTGCTTAAGCGATTATAGATACTATTTCATCAAGCCATAAATCGTATTGGATTAGAGGGTATTTACATTTTTTACCACATTTACAATTATTAGTAATACGATGTAAGCTCTCTATCTGACACATCACCCTCTTGTGATTGGGTAGATTTATATTACCATTGATATCACAATATGACTTAAGATTAAGTCTTGTAGTAACAGTATTTGAGTAAGAGTGACGTGTGGATAATACTAGCAAATTTATATTTTCAGGAATAACGAAATTTTCAAGAGCATATGTTTTTCCAGTTTCCCAAGGCGACCCACATAAATATCACCTTCATTGGGTAATGGTTTTACATATCTCTCCTTATATATTTCTGTAGCCGTAAGGGTCTCACTATATTTGACCCAATATGGTATTTTTACAAAAGCTTTTGGGAAGCCCGAGTATTTTACTCTGTAAGAAGATAGTGGTAAATTTTTATTTTTTTGCAGAATTTTTTTCACAATAGATGGGTCGCATTCAAATACTTCCCCAGGTTTATCAATACCTTGCCGGAAGCATTTTATGATG